GACTTTATATAATGTTGTGATTGGTAAGCAACAATTAGCTTCTAAACTTCCAGTATTCAAAGAAACATGGTTTGGTAGGGCGTGCTACTCGAACTTATCTCATAAGCAGTAGTTCTTTAAATAAACCTACTGAAAATTTTATTTCTGCTAGCTTATTAGCTAATTTTACCCAACACTTTTATCATATAAGCTAATTTTTCAGTCATACATCATAATCTATCGCTATAAGCTCAAAATTCATTTAAAAGTTGTAAAGTTTACCAAACATAACCGAAATAGATATATAGATAGACAGAGATGTTGAATATGTAATTTTGAAGAAAATTCCCTGGACCTTTTTACGTAGTAATAGCAAAAGTCGGCTAGGATAAATGTCTGAACAATTTCGGATAACAGAACCATTGAAGGCCATAGTCCATAGCCCAATGCCACGAGGAATTTTCCACGTGTGTCCAACACCTGAAAACAAAGAAAAGAAACGGTTTACTCCATTTTTTTATGTAATTACGGTAGAAAAAAGAGAAAAGCTATAATTTAAAATAATTGCACCTCGATAGAGAGTGTTTGTTAAGAGTGTGCCTATAAATACATTTTAAGGTAACATGTACTTTTTGCCGATACTTTGGTTCATTTTGTAATAAGCTTTTGATGTATATAATGTTTTCTGAACAAGATAAATAAAGGGGTTCATCATTCTTGTATTCCAACCTGGAGAACCCAGTGAGCACAGCTGATGAACCGAGCAACACCAAGTGCAAATACGTAATGAGCCGTAAAAGGTTCAACAATCTGCCACCAACAACAACAACATAGCTTTTTAGTCCCAAGCACGAAAAGAAAAAAAAAATTCTCATCATGACTCGCAATTGAGTTCTCTCCAAACGACTGGATAATCATTTCCAAATTCGAGATTTTTCCACCTTTGTGTTTTGCATGACACGAAGTTGAGGTAGCACAGATACAGCTTCGAGATAAACACAGAGAGCCCAGGCTATCCTGTTGATGATGTGATGCGATGTAGACGGGTGGATTAGTAAAGCTATAACAGCACAAGGGATCACCTGCAGAGACACTTTTTCAAAACTTTGAACGCCAAAAAATCGGGAGATGAGCATAAAAGAATAGAAAGAAACTAATGTTATGTTTGGTAAACCCAGCTGATAAGCTACATCATAGCTGATAGCTTTTAAGTGAATTTTAAGCTTATAGCTGACAGCTGATTACTCATGTATGAAAAGCTAGCTTATATGATAAAACTGTTAGGTAAAACTAGCTGAAATAAAATTTTCATTGGACTTATTTGAAAAGCTACCCAAGGAAACTTATGACATAAGCTCGAACATTTTAGAAAATCTATGTTGGTTGTCCTACCAAACCAAACCAAACTGATTTGCATACATTTGAATGCAGGAAACTTATAAGCTAATCAAATAAGCTATAAGTTAGCTTATATGTTTACGGAACACACAGCCTAGTTAAAGGCTAAGGACTTCATTGTAAGCAGGGGAACAAAATAAATCAAAAGCATTAATGGACAAGCTAATACTACTAAAATTAAACACCATAAGCAGAAAATAACTAAAACAACCATACATTCGCAGCCAAATCGTGTGCAGTAAAGGTGGTTTTTGTATTTTAATGATAATCCTCGAACATTCAAACGAACTCTTTCCTCGTCACAACCTCAAAACACGACAACGAGGAAAACCAAATGGCATCCTAATAGAAATACTCACCACATAATACAATGCGATATTGTCTTTATCCTTCATATAACTTGATCTCAGTTTGAAACGAATCATATAAATAACCCACAAGGTTGTAGCAAGAGTAGCCATGTCGAGCACAGTGTGAATGTCATATTCCATGACAAAACTGCAGTACAACCTCACGGCCAAAAAGATAGCTGTTAGCTCCTGGGATTTGAGCGAAAGCCCTGCCATTCGATTAACAAACAAATATTAGTACATTAAGTTGCATCGATAAGGCATGACCATTGTTCTTTTTTCCATAGGGAATAAAATGTAACATAAAAATCTCATCTTTCAACTACAGAGATAAGTTATATAACTACAGAACATGAAACATTTCAAACACAACTATTGATGGGAATAAAGATGAGCCCATCAAGCCTTTCTCCTGATATCACCAAAAATCAGATCAAAATCTTGCCCAAAACACTCGAATTCCCAAAAGTTCCAAGCTTTTTCACAAATTGCCAGTTCCCAGAAGTTCTAAGCCTTTTCACATTTGTCGATGAATTATAGATATAAGAAGAGTAAACAAATTGCATAATTAACTTCCCAATATTCAACACATTTCCCAATTGAAGAAACGGGGGTTGACGGTTGCGGTCCCACATCCTAAAATCAATTGGTGGTAGAAGAAGTATCCCACTAGGCTTAACTAGTCTATTTTCCCTGTATCGGTCCCACGTAGGCCCAAGCCAAACTGGCTGAGTGAACTGGCTCTGATACCATGAAAAGACAAGGGTTGACAGGTGCGGTTCCACGGGTGAAGCGCACCAAAGTAGGGTGAGCCTAAATTAAGCTTAGTGGGGAGCAACTCAGTGTGCTTATAAGTTAGGTCTATTTTTCGATGTAGGACAACTCATAAGTGTATTTTAACACTCAAAGAACACTAGAAATTTGCAATTCTGAAAAATTCTAGGTTAACAAAAAGAACAGTTACAGCACAAAGTCGTACCAGCACAAGTCCTCTCCTTCATCAGCTTGTATATCAAGACAGCGATTCCGATCGAGTGAACGGCCTCCGACGCCACGAACAGATTGTCGTGGTCGTGAACAATCGCGCGGAGGAGAACGAGCGCCGCCACGCCGCTGACCACCGCCAGAAACGCCTTCACCTTCGGCGGTTGCCGCCGCACCCATGCCGTCGCCGCTTGGATCGGCCTCCTCGGCGCCTTCATAGTTGTACGTGAAGTATTGTAATGTGACCCCTTTTGACCGAAATAGCTATGAAGCTGAATGTTCGTCGGTTTTCGCCGGAAAATTGAGTAGAAAGGTTAGGGAAAATCGGGAATTTTGGTCTAAGGGAGAGGTTTTATTATTTATTATTAAAACTCTGTTATACTGTGGACTGTGGAGTGGTTATGCATGTGGGAATTAGTTCAAATGACTCTCTTTACATAAGAAATTGGGTAAATGACCC